TGTCGTCATGGCAACAGAGGAGGCAGAGTGGGTGGAGACTGGTTCTGCTCTTCTTCCCCTCTTCCTCTCCGCAGTCTGACCTTCCTCTGTCTGTGTCCTGTCTGTGACATCACCTCCTGACTCCACCCCCTTTTGTCTCAGGTGTGTTGCCATGGCGACAGATGGACTCAAGATATGGAGGTGGTCCAGAGAAAACTGCAGGTAAACTCTGTCAAACACACACACATTAAAACCTGTGTGTGTGTGTGTGTGTGTGTGTGTGTGTGTGTGTATGTATGTGTGCCTGTGTACCTGCAGTGTCTGTGTGTGATGAACTGGTCCTGGTCCAGGTGTTGGTAGGAGGGGAAATCTGATTGGAGGAATCTCTCTGTTACCATGGTGAACTGATGGACACACACCAGACAACCTGCAACACACAAACATTCATTCAATCTGCCGTCTGTGACCTGTGTGTGTGTGTGTCTGTGTGTGTGTGTGTGTGTACCTATCCAGGCAGTGTTGAAGGCCGCCCTCTGACCTCCCTCCTTGTCCTCACTGGTTTCCGTGACAACACAAGTGACAGCTGCTGTCCCGTCTCTGAGCTGTAGAGTGTGTTTGTGTTCGGACGTCTGAGATGGAAGCTCCAACACCCCCACCAGCAGCAGGGGGCGCCGTCTGTCACAGCACAGAGTGGAAATGAACCCAGTATACCCACTATAACCAGTATAACCAGTATAACTAGGTTTACCTGGCTGTATCTCCAGTCTGGGGGTCAGAGGTCAGAGTCCTGCAGGACCAGGACAGAGCTGTGTTGATCTCAGACCTGGACAGACCAGATCCACCAGGGGACAGCAGAGACCTCAGAGACACTGAAGACCAGCAGTCTGACTGTAGAGACTGACAGAGCTCTGAGACACTGATGGACTGAGGGACAGCAGGGTCCACACTGTACTGTAGAGACAGACAGAGACACTGTAGAGAATGAGACACTGTAGAGATAGACAGAGACACTGTAGAGACAGAGACACTGTAGAGACTGAGAGACAGACAGAGACACTGTAGAGACTGAGACACTGTAGAGATAGACAGAGACACTGTTGAGACTGAGACACTGTAGAGACAGAGACACTGTAGAGACAGAGAGAGACACTGTAGAGACAGAGACACTGTAGAGACTGAGACACTGTAGAGACAGAGACACTGTAGAGACAGAGAGAGACACTGTAGAGACAGAGACACTGTAGAGAAAGACAGAGACACTGTGGAGACAGACACTGTAGAGACAGACAGAGACACTGTAGAGACAGACAGAGACACTGTAGAGACAGAGACACTGTAGAGAAAGACAGTGACACTGTAGAGACTGAGATACACTGTAGAAACAGACAGAGACACTGTAGAGACAGAGACAAATGTCCTGTCATGTCCATAAAGCTAATTAAAGCGTGAGTCTACCTGAGTCAGGGGACAGGTGTGAGGCTCGTCCAACATCTCTGAGTAGATGTCTCTCCTTCCTCCTCGTCCTTGTCTCCACACAAAGTCTGTCAGCTTCCAGGACAAGACACACACACACTGCTGCTGCTTCAGCACACTGGGGAAAAGACTGAGGACAGAGACAGAGAGAAAGACAGACAGAGAGAGAGAGACAGTTAATGAGAGACAGACAGAGAGAGAGAGAGAGAGAGAGATACAGTTAATTAGAGACAGACAGAGAGAGAGAGAGAGAAAGACAGAGAGAGGGAGAGAGAGGGAGAGAGAGACAGCTAATGAGAGACAGACAGAGAGAGAGACAAAAACCAGTGGCAGACAAATAGGAAGTCGAATCAGACAGACAGGAAGTAGAATCAGGAAGCAGAATCAGTCAGTGTAAGGTTGTATTTGTTTTTGCATGTTGGTAACTTTGGTTTAAGGATGTTAAGAATGTGAACCTTGGGTAAGCTGCTGACCTTTGGGAGAGCAGGAAACCAACCAGTCCATTACACATCTGGGTTTTATGGTTATATTGTTGTTTAGGAGTTTATCTACATCCCGCAGAGATTTAGTGATGTACCCCTTTTCAGGAGGTAAGCAATAAAAGTGAAACACAGAGGTAAAGGTCTCGAGGTTAACAACTTGGTGTGTCCTACATCAGATCTGTCCTTCATGCACGAATGAACCAGCCAAACTGAAGTGTTGACTTGTTGGTCTGATTTGTACAATTTCATCTTTCGGTCACGAGAAATCATCTTTTCAGTCAGACAGGAAGTGGACTCAGACAAACAGGAGAGTTGACACCTAAAGGTCAGAGGTCAGCCGCTGGGTTTCTACCAGGATCAGAGACCTCAGGTGTTTTACAGACAGAGACACCTGGTTTATCAGGTGTGACATCGGAGTCTGTACTTCCTGCTCTCTGCCTGTAGAGGGTGGAGCTGCTGTTTCTCACTCAATGGTCAGACTCAGCTTTCAGTCCCTGGTCTTCGTCTCTGTGTAACATGTCAGGTGACTCTCCTCACCTGTGTGAGAGCCGTGAGCTCAGGTGACATGTCCACAGGTACTCGGACACACCCATGTTTTTCTCCAGCAGTAGACGTGGTAATGCTCCGTCACCCGGACAGGTGGAGGCGGGTGGAGACCCCCCCACCCTGCTGAAGCTGGTCACCCTGAGGCTGGAGCGAAGACAGGTGCAGAGCATGCTGGGAGGGAAGTCGGGACAGGGCCGGTACAGGAAGTGGACATGGTGGAGCTGCAGGACATCGAATCCAACTTTATTAACAACAGAGCATTTGACAGCAGTGACTCACCTGTTCTGACTCGACTGCTCTGACTCATCTGTTCTAGCTCACCTGTTCTGGCTCACCTGTTCTGACTAATCTGTTCTGGCTCAGCTTCTCTGACTCACCTGTTCTGACTCACCCGCTCTGACTCACCTGTACAGTGTCTCCTGCTCTCAGCTTCCTCTCCGGCCTAGGCTGATAGGCCAGGCACAGACCAACCATCCTGTCAATTACGTACAGCCCCGCCCCCTCACTCACCACCTCAGTCACTGTGCCCTATCAGAGGAGAGGGGCAGGGCTTACCACACAGGTAACACTGACACAAAAAGTGACGTTCAGACAGCCAATCAGAGCTCAGTGTCCTCTGAGTCTTACCTGATAACTGATGACTCGAGACCGTTTCATCTTCACACCTGACTGGACCACATCTCTTTCAGGCTCCGCCTCCTCAAAGTCTTCATGGTTACCGTGCGGCATCATAGTAGGGGGCATGTCTGCCCTGGATTCAGTGTGTGTGTCGTTCACAGGTGTGTGTGTGGGTGTGTAGTTTGTGTGTATTTCAGACTGGTCGGTCACACACAGGATGTTGTTTCCTCTCCAGCCTCGTAGGACACACACACGCAGCGCCGTCACACACACACTCTGACCAACACACACACACTGACGCCACCACAACTTGCTGCTGTCCTGCACACAGAGACACCACATCAGTGACCAGGGATGAGTCAGCTGTGAGACAGGAAGTGTCCTCATACCTTTACAAGGACAGGTATACTGTGTCTGTCCTCCGTCAGCCTGAAGCAGAAGAAGGTTGTTCCTAATACGACCAGCAGAGGGAACACTGAGCCCACCTGTCCAAAGACGGACACTCGCTGTCCCCTCACCCTGAGACAGAGACAGTCAGAGAGAGAGAGAGTCAGACAGAGAGAAAGATAGAGAGACAGACAGAGCGAGAAACAGACAGAGAGAGAGACAGACAGACAGAGACAGAGAGAGAGACAGGCAGACACAGAGAGAGTCAGACAGAGAGAGACAGACAGAAAGAGACAGAGACAGACAGAGACACAGACAGACTCACCTGTTGTGCAGTACACCTGCAGCCTCTCTGACTCCCACTGCTGTGATAGGCCCCGCCCCTCCCCCAGCAGCCAATCCCAGCTCAGGGCCGGGACACAGCAGCACAGGAGAACCAATCAGCTCCAACCAGCCTCCAGCCTCGTCCTGCCCCGAGGCATTGTGGGGGATGTAGTTCCAGTGAGGGAGGAAGACAGCATGGTTGAGCCACTGAGGCGAGGGAGACAGGCACTGCAGAGAGACAGACAGGTGTGTCCTCAGGTGACGGACTGATGCAGCAGAACAGGTGTCTGTTGACCTCACACTCACCTCACACCTGACACTCCTGCTGCTGTCCATCAGCCTCCACTCTCCGCCCTGCCCCTCTCTCAGGCAGCCAATCAGCAGCAGGTTGACCCGCCGCAGAGCCTTGCTACCTGGCAGAGAGGACTCCGCCTCCCTCGCCCACGCTCGCTGTTGATTGGTGCTCCAGGACAGGTGACTGACACAGGCCAGGTGCTGCCGAGAGACCAGCTCAGAGACAGACACTGGTCTGGAGACGGGGTCAGAGAGAGGTCAGAGGTCAGAGGTGTAAAATATCATGTGTTCTACCTGTGTCCAGGTACGCAGACAGAACACATGCAGGTCATCAGTTGGTCAGGTGATCAGGTGACTAGGACAGGATGGTGATCATGCGATCATCAGTCAGACAGACAGAGAGAGAGACGGTGACCTGTCGTCCTACCTGTAGCTCACAGGTAAAGTGTGTGTGAGCGTCATGTTCTCCTGCAGCGTCTTCACCACACACACACTCAGAGACACACACACATCAGAGCACACACCTCCACCTGCAACAACAGAAACATCGGTCCACATCTGGAATGTCCTCTGACCTGAGTGTGTGTGCCTTTGCACAACAACACCAGAAGCTGATTGGATAACTGACCTGTCAATAACTCGGCTGCGGCGTGAGGGGCGGGGCCAGTGAGCACCGGACACACCTGTTGTGTAATGAAGGTAAACATGTCCTTCAACCAGGAGGCCTCCTGCAGGAAGGAACGAATGATTCAGGAACGTCCGACAGCTCTGACCGTCATTAAACATACCATATCACCTAACACACCACGTCACTGAACAGTCTTTGAACACACCATGTCACTGAACACAGCACAGTGAAACAAACAGCTGGTGGACCTGAGGTCTGGACTATGAAGCAAGTTAGAGTGTGTTCATGTGAAAGAGGCGGAGTTTGAATTATAAGCAACATTGTCAGAACCATGAATGAAGTTCTCAATCTGAGAAGAAACGCTGACACCTGCAGGTGAGTTCAGTTATAAGCAGGTCGAACAGTGACACTCAACAGGTGAATGTAAACAACACGATCACATGACTAGAATAAAACAATGTCTCGAATATAATTTCTATTAAGGTCACAATGATGATAAATTATAAACAAGAACATGAATTATCATGAAGTTTCTTCTTTTGTGTCATGATGAACAAACTGATGTCAGACAGACAGGAAAGAGAGAAAGAAGAGAGGAGTAGTTGATGTCTGATGAAATGTTCTAATCTAATATTGATCAGTGTGAGGATCCTTGCTTAGTTTTTATTTCCTGTGTCATCGCTCAGTGATGAAGAAGAGTAAAAGCTTCATCACTCATTAAAGAATCTGTGTTTAATTAAAATGAAGCTTTAATAGTTTTATATATTTATTTAGTGAGTATTCTGTTTGTTAGAAGCTGTTTTAACACATGCTGGTCTGGAACAGGAAACCGATTCCACTGATTAATACAAATATCTACTGATCGTTATTATTGATCTCTTCATTGTAAACTCTTTTGTCCCTGTCAGGATCCTGTAGGATGATGACTCAGTGTTTCCAGTGATCTGATTGGTCAGTAGTTTGACGGCTTCTGATCTGATCCGGAGCAGGTGGGGAGTTCAGGGTCAGTTACCATGGTGATTTACCCGGTAACAAGAGAAACACCATCGTAGGACTGAAAACCCAGACTTACATCTGAAGCTACCTGATGACGTCACATCCTGTTTCATGGTACAGGCCTCAGTTAACTGTTTACTCTGAATATGGCCGACTCACAGCGTCCTCCCTACACTACCGTTATAAACACACAGGTCAGAGTGAGGGGGGGTCACGTGTGAGCCGAGTTCACCTGGAAACCTTCGTAACTCTGACGCAGTCTCAGTTTTCCTCCTGTCGTGAAGTCTGCACCAACTAAAGATCCTTAAACCGCCAGTTTTCTGAGCGGAGTTCCTGCTGAGCTGGAGGGGACTTACCGCTTCGCTGCGGGGTCTGAACCGGTCCAGGAGTCGCTGCACAGAGTCCATCTCCACGGGACTTCAGCCCCGATCACCGGGTTCAGATCGACCGTCTCCTGGCTCCTCAGTCTTCCGTGATGTCAACAAATCGCTGCCGCCAAAAGCCTCAAACGGCTTCCTGTTTAGCTACGGTGTCGGCAGAGGGTCAATCTGTGTTTGGCGTGGCGCTGCACAAAGAGTGTGATCAGATATGATCCATCAATCAATAAATTCAAGTTCGTAGGTTTTGTCTCAAAATTGGTAGGGACGCGACCCCCCCCCCTCCACCCCACACACACACACACAAAAAGCAAGGAGGACTTTTGAATGACGTCACCATATGGTTTATTAACATAAAATATGAATTTACAGAGACTACAACTTAAGACATTATCCTGTGTTATAATAACTATAATAAAAGAATTGGTGGACTGTGTTACTATGGGAACGTTAAATATAAATTAGTCATTTACAACATATATTTAATCACAGTATATCAGTGGTTTTCAACGGGCTGGGGACCGCTGGTGGTGTAGCTGAACCTTTCCCCCGGGATCAATAAAGTATTCTGATCCTGATTCTGATCCAGATTCTGATTCTGATCCTGATTCTGGTTGATGAGACCAGATAGAAAACATAATTCATAATGATGGAGCTGGAGAAGTGATGTGTTTTAATCCAGGAACTGTGTGTATGTGGTTTTGTTTGTCATCAGACAGTAAACGGCAAATTATGGAAACAGAGAAAAATCACTGTAAACAGCAGAGGTTGTCTGGCAGAGAGATAAAGTCACAGCAACAAGAGGTTTAAATGTTGGTAGATAACATGTCTGAATAACCTGACGTCCATGTTATCATCTCATTATAGAACAGGCTGGAGAAGCACATGTCTCTATAATGGAACCAGTGGGCCGAAGGATTTAAAAACTTTAATTACCTGTGAGACGACCGACCTCTGATGTTTGAGTCTGAGACAGAACAGACTCAGTCAAAATGTCTTTCTGAATGATCAGTCGTGTCAGTGCTGCCTCCAGCATGTTTACAGATACATATAATATTTCTTTCATCTCATTCTGGAAATAATGATGATGGAACAGACCGAACTGTGTCAGAACTGAAGGAGCAGGAACCATAGGAACCCCACAAACATGAGAAGACTCCAACACAATATCCTGGATCAATTTGATGTCTGGTTAAAAAACCGTTCAGTTTTTTAGTTTTTTCTTTTCTCTCTCTCTATACACACACACACACACACACACACACACACACACACACACACACACACACATACAGGCTATACATATAATATATATTGTCATCAACTTAAAATATAAGCATATTTTCATCACTGATTAATCATTGAGTAAATGGCTCAGAGCTCGAGGTGAAAAATCCAGTTCACTGTCATATCTGACAAAGAAGAGCAACAAATCCTCATCCAGAACATTTGTTTTATTGCTGACACGATCAACTGATTATCACTCATCAGTCCTGTGTTGATCAATTGACTGATTAATTGATTAACCTTGACTAACATTAACACTATTCTACAGGAGCAGAGATACAACCACAACTGTATTCATACAGTCTCCATCTTCATCCCTCGCACAGCTGCGTTCACCCCTCCTCCATCCCCTCACGGATTGGCCGTTTGATTTGACATACACAGATTCCAGCCAATGAGATGCAGGAATACAAACTAGCTCCTTCCCATTATAAGAGTAGAGTTCCCGCCCTGCTGGCGTTGCTGGGCGGGCGGAGCCGTGTAGCAACGGGATTTGACTTGCAGTCCCAATAGCCAATCATAGGGCATTATTCATCTGAGCCACGCCCACCGCGGCTGGCAAGTTCCCGCCTCCTAGACAGCAATAACCAACGGGGGCGTTGCTGGGGGGCGGGGCCGATCTCGAGCTCGACCCAGTTTGAAAGTGAACCAAAGGCTCCAGTCGCTGCTTCAGCCTCCAAACAACAACAGGAACCCAGGACCCAAATCCCGAAAACCGGTTCGAAGTCTGCCTCCGCCTGTAGCCGGCCCTCCTGACAAGTGAGTACCGCGGTCCATCTTTTGACCGCTGGGTTAGAGTTAGATTTGATGAACTGTAAGTGACAATGAGCTGGCTTTGATTTGCCGGTTTGGTTTTTTCTGACGTGCAGGATCCTGTGATAAAAGGTCCGTGAATGAGGCTGGAAAATAGGGATAAAATGGCCGCTTTAACGGCCAGAATGTGGCGGTGGTGAGCCGTGTTCGCCTCTCTGAGCCTTTCTGTGTGCGCACTCCGGGGACTGATGGAGACGTGTTGTTGTAAACACGAAACGCCCATTTTGGAGTATGAATGCCAGGAAATAGTCCTGTCCCGTCCATACAACGTTGACCTCTCCGGCGCATAACCGGAGCCCTTCGTTGAAAATGCGTAGCTGTTGTACTGACTCCATATTTCCATTGCAGATGCGGTTGATCGGTGTAAAAACTAAGTTGCAATTAAAGATTTAAAAATTCACTAAATAACAGAAAGCCTCGTCTCGTTGTTTGTAACGTCACTGTGGTTTAAATGTATTTTTATTAGCCTGCTAGCCCGTTAGCTTGCTGCTAGCGGAGGGGGATGGGGCGGCTAGCTCTGCAGAGGGCGGGAAGCAAATGGTGGCCCATTGTTCTGTCGGAGCTAGCCCGCTAGCACGGCTAGGCTAACTGCAGCAGTCATAGATCTCCATAGACGACACGGCTAGCTTTAGTTTTACTTCATCTCTGCCGCTCATAGGCTTCCAGTCACAGGCGGAGGGGGGAACCGGTCTACGGCGGGATGTCCCAGCACTGCACCGGACAGGGAGAGGGTCCAGCACGGGTCGGCGGGCCTCCTATCCCCCCAGTTTAGAAAATGGATCCCACTCTGTTCTTTGTTATTCCCAATCAGCACAGTTAGACTGCTGATGGGCCGTTATGTTCCCCCGATCATTAACGGACAACTTTCTAATGAAGGATGGAGAAAGTTCGTGTCCTTAATGATTGAAAGTCATTTTAATAAAGCATATTTCAACATTTTTACAAGGTTAAATTTTTAATAATGAACAAAATGATACATATGAGTTAAAGGGTCATTCCACCCAAACACATTTAAAGCTTTTCTGGTGGGCACAAAAAATACTCTGGATTTTTTTTAAAAACAAATAAAGGTTAAATATCTCTCAGATGAATGGTTCCAGTTTCTGTGTTGGGGCTCTGATCTGTATGTTCAGTGGATGGTGTCAGGTTCAAAGACGTTACCAGACATAATGAGCCACAACTATCCAACCAACACTGTTTCCTCTCTGAACTGCGAGGCTGTGATGGTTCTCTTTGTCAAATGTGATGCTACCCTGAAGACATTACCCAGGCTGTTAGGACACTGAGGAGGCTATCTATTGATGTTTTCTAATAATTAATCAATTACATGAGAAGATAATGAGCAAATGAATAGATAATAAAAATAATTGTTTGATTCTTTTTGTTAGTGTAAATGTCATCTACTCTGTGGTGTCAGATTTTCTGTGTTCTGTCATGATGAACTGAATCTTAATCTTTTGGAAAAACATGAAGATCTGAGATGAACAGACAGTTAATGTAAGAACTGAATGACACTGATCAGTATTGAAAACAGGGGTCTTATCTTTTGAGTAAATGTTTGATCAATATGTCGACCATGTGAATTATGGTCAGTAACACCATCTTCTGTGTTGAACTGAAATGAAAGAAAAAATAACAATGAAATAAAAATAGTTTTCAGAGTTATATCAGAACTGAATTTGGTTCCCTTCTTTTTGTCTGTGCCCATCTCTCTCTACCTCCTCTTTCTTCTTCTCTCCCTCTGCTCCAGGCCGCCATTATGATGCGTAAAGACGTCAACAAACCGAAGGGGAAGACGTCGGCGTACGCCTTCTTCGTCCAGACGTGTCGAGAGGAGCACCGAAAGAAAAACCCTGAGCAGTCGGTCAACTTCGCGGAGTTCTCCAAGAAATGCTCAGAGAGATGGAAGGTAGGAGACGGGCAGACAGAGCTAGAGACAGATGGACAGACAGGTTGAATTTGAACTTTTTATTTTTTTAATTGTTTTTATTGTCATTATATTTGTAATGAATTGTTAATGAGACTGAGTCGATGGAACTCAGGGTTCATCTGTAGCACTAATGTCCACAGTGTCATATTATTAGGAACACCATGTTGTGAGACCATGTCACACACATCAGGAGAGGCTGAGGTGGAGTTAATGTGAGCTGCTGGAGAATAGTGTTGAATGTCAGTGATGGTGGACTCCACCCACAGACACAGAGGAGTCCACTGATCCAGATCGGTCTTGGAGAGAGGGAACAAACTGGTCCTGCAACATGTGGACAGATTAGTTTGAAAAATTAGGAGCTAACTATGAGCAAATTTCACTGAACAAAGTCAAGACAAACTGACAATCAATAATCAATAATAATCATAACGTCCTTGACGGCCTCATCACAATGAGTCTGAAAACAGCGCGTTAACTGAATCCTTGTGAAGCTTGGGGATTAGAGACAGGCTGAGACAGGACCTGCTTCAGGCGTTCAGTCTCGTTCTTCGGTCAGGTTGTTCACCTGAGACCTGGAGGCGGGGCTAGACCCTCACAGCCAGCGAGGCGTTGGTGTGAGCGGTGACCTGGAGGTGTTGAGCAGCATCATTGGTGTCTGGATGATGGACTTCTTATGGACCACAAGATCTTGAGGGACCAAATCACCACACCATGTTTACGCCTGATGACGTACACAAACCACCTAATAAAACAACCTAACGCAGTTGTATTACACATGTCCCGCCCCTCCACCAATAAGCCAATTGTATGCTTTATAACGACCTAACATGGTGACACTAAAAGTATAACCTTTGGAAACATGGCCATCAGACTCTTTAAGCTGTAATCACATTTGACTGATGAGTCTTTACATGCAGTTTTATGTCCCAGTCACCATGGAAACTGGGGTCATGGCTCTCCTCTTGAATTTGCTAGGGGCGTTTCCAAGATGTCTGCCCAGTGCAGAGGTTGTCCTGGACTTTGATGAAACTGTTCAGTGTGTGTCTGATCCAATATTTACAGCAGTAGTGTGTGTGTTCAGTACAGTATAGAGACTGGTGGGTGGTGATATGTAAACAGTCTGAGTTCAGCCTGACATCATGCAGTTCTTATTGGAGCCAGCAGAGGGTCTGTCAGACTGGAGCTCCTGTCTGCTCGTCTCCTGGATTATTCTCAGTCGCTGCTCAGATCTGCCTCTCACATAACTAATCATCATCATACTCATCCACTCTCTAGAGGAGCAGGATAATTAATTTACTACCATTATTACATCAGTACTCTGTAGTTATTACTACAGTATGATATCAGTACTCTGGTTATTACTACATTATAACATCAGTACTCAGTAGTTATTACTACAGTATGTCATCAGTACTTTGTAATTATTACTACATTATGACATCAGTACTCTGTAGTTATTACTACATTATTACATCAGTACTCTGTCATTACTACATTAGTACTCTGTAGTTATTACATGAGTAGTAGTTACTACATTATGACAGCAGTACTCAGTAGTTAGTACTACATTATTACATCAGTACTCTGTAGTTGTTACTACATTATTACATCAGTAGTAGTTACATTGTGACATCAGTAGTCAGTAGTTATTACTACATTATGACATCAGTACTCTGTAGTTATTACATCAGTAGTAGTTACATTATGACATCAGTACTCAGTAGTTAGTACTACATTATTACATCAGTACTCAGTAGTTATTACTACGGTACATCAGTACTGTCATTACTACATTGTTACTACATTATTACGACTTTATGACATCAGTACTCAGTAGGTAGTACTTCATTATTAAATCAGTACTCTGTAGTTATTACTACATTATTACATCAGTACTCTGTAGTTATTACATGAGTAGTAGTTACTACATTACGACATCAGTACTCAGTAGTTACTAGTTACAGCACTGCTACTTCAAAATAAAACACTGCGTCTGTAGTTTGTTGCCTTTCAAAGTAAAGGTTTGTTCTTTGTTTTCTGTGTTGTAAACTCAGGCTCTGTCTCCCAGTGATAAGAAGTGTTTTGAGGACATGGCCAAGGCCGACAAGGTGCGTTACAACAGGGAGATGAGAGACTACGTCCCACCAAAGGGCTTCGGAAAGAGGGGCCGCAAGAGGAAAGACCCCAACGCACCCAAAAGACCCCCGTAAGACTCAAACACACTGGCACACCACGACAACCACAATGACTGTCTGCTGGAGGCTCATGTGCCCCTCTTCCACCAGGGGGCAGCACGGAGTGAGATGAAGCGGCAGCTGGTTCACATGTTCTCTCAGGTCATGTTTTATTGATCGTCTGAGCCGTGGAGTCAGACTCTGGTTAAACTTTAACTGAGTATAAGTGAAAATGAAATGGGTCCTGATCTCTGCTGAAACTGAGTCTCTAATCCAGACTACACACCAGCTCTGTACAGCAACATGTTTGAATCAACATGCCGGCTTTGCACTAATGAGAAGTTATAAAATAAATGTCACAAAGCAGCTTTAATTCTTGTTTGTTTGTTTCCAGTGTCTGGATCTTAAATCATCTGTCAGTCAACTCATGCACTGAACTGAACTGTGTCCCGTCTGAACACTGTCAGCTGGTTAAACCTTTGAGTCCAGTTTGAAGTTAAAGGGTTATACTGGTTATACTGGAGCAGACAGAGTGAAGTTTGTGCTGTGTGTGTGTCCCTGCAGGTCTGCGTTCTTCGTGTTCTGCAGCGAGTACCGTCCCAGTGTGAAGCAGCAGTATCCTGGTCTGTCTATAGGAGACTGTGCCAAGAAACTGGGAGAGATGTGGAGCAAACTGTCCCAGTCTGAAAAACAGCCGTATGAAGAGAAGGCCCAGAAGCTACGAGAGAAATACGACCGGGTGAGAGAGAGAGAGAGAGAGAGAGAGAGAGAGAGAGAGAAGAGAGAGAGAGAGAGACGAGAGAGAGAGAGAGAGAGAGAGAGAGAGAGAGAGAGAGAGAGAGAGAGAGAGAGAGAATTAAAGCTTTTTGTTTGTAAAACTGTAAAGTGTGTGAAGTGTATGGAAACGTCCCTGATGTCAGCAGGTAGAAAACAGGAGCCTCTAAAACCACTAACCCTTTAACCCTTTAACATCCGGCTTTTACCTGTGATCAGCATTCACACCTGGGTCACATGACTCTGCAGTGGTCTCAGGTATTTATTTAACCCAACATCAGCTGAATATGTTCACCCCTTTGCTGCTGTAACGTCACCTGTCCAGGTGCTGTTAAACAGGAAACAGCAGTTACACTTCAAAGAGTGAGTGGACTTTCAAAATAAGTTTTTTAAAAACACACTGACAGCAGCAACAACCTGATCTGTTTACCTGTTAGCACGGTGGCCAGCAGCTCACTGTGTGTGCGCTCTGTAACTACATGATGACATCACTTCCTGCAGTCGTGTGTGTCCTCAGTCTGAAAGGACAAACTGGACTTACAGTGGTAAAGGAGTCCATCAGCTTTTATTAGAGGGTTTACCTGAGTTAAAACCAGTATACACCTGATGATGAGATACTCATTGATACTCTCTCTGTCGTGTCCTACACACCTGTCCACTGAATAAACTGTCTCCTCCTGTCTCTCAGGACATGGTGGCGTACCGCGGTGGCGGCACATATGCCAGGAACCCCGGCTCTTCAGCTCAGGGAGGAGAGGAAGAGGAGGACGACGAGGGAGAGGACGAAGATGAAGAGGAGGACGACGACGAGTAGAGATGACGAGCTGCAGCTGGATGAGAGAGAGAGAGTGTGTTAGAGAGAGAGACAGGTAGGTGTGTGTGTTTCAGAGGTCAGACTGTTTAAAACAGGTAAGAGTGAAGAGGAGGGTCTTTGACAGCTGACCAGAGGAGACAGGGGGTGGGGCTTCACAGCAGGTGTAGGTCCTCTGAGACTTCCTTCTCCAGCTGATTGTAGGCAGATAAGAGGAGGAAGAGGGGGGACAGGTGTGAGATAGATGAGACAAGTGAGGATGAAGTTAAGGGCGTCTAGCTACCAGCCATTTTCTGTCTCCATGGAAACATAGGTTGGTTGACTGATGAGGAGTCAGATGTGATGTTCAGTGACAAGCAGGTAACAGCTCCTGTGATTCAGGCCGGATGTGTGATACTGAGTCAAAGGTCAGAGGTCAGACACTGAACCATAACACAGTTTATCTCAGTTCATCCTGAGTGTGGAGCCCGACTAACATCCAGCTCACAGCACTGACCAATCAACTGACAGCTGATAAATTTTAATGATTGATTTTATCATAGAGGTCAGAGGAGCTGGTAGACATCTTGAACTACCTGATTCAAAGCTGTCGGACGTCATGTGGTTGATGATGTCAGACCTCATCATGTTAGATCATGTGATTGATGACATCGTTTACCTGTAGTCAAACAGACAGGCAGAGAGAGAGACAGGTCGCTCTGAAACACACACACAGGACCACAGAGTGAGTGTGTGTGTGTCTGTGTGTGTGTGTGTGTGTGTGCGTGTGTTGCCTTTCTGTAACGTGTGTGTGTGTGTGTGTGTGTGTGTGTGTTTGTGTGTGTGTTGGAGGTCATCAGATGTTAAACTGTCCAACACCAGAGGATAGTAGAGTAACCCCCCCACACAGTTACCATGGTTGCCCCTGCACCCTCCCCCTCCTCATACCCCATCATCACCCCTGTGTGTTACCATGGAAGCCCCAGCCCCTCCTCCTGCCCATCATCATCATGTTGTTTTTTATTTTCTTACTGGAGGTTTATTGGAGTTTTTCTGTTCCTTGTTCACTGTCAGAGTAGAAACTTCAACTTTTATAATAAAACAACCAACTGAGGCAAAAACAACGTGTCTGCTGTTCTTGTGATGAGCCTGTCCTCCTTTAGGTCCTCATCCTGCCGTGTGGCAGCAACATGACGGAGGCTCCTCACTGAGCATCAGTCATGGTGAGAGATAGATGGTCATGGTCCATGTGACAGACCACAGAGTGTTTCATCTTAATCACAGAGCTGCTGCGACCTTCACTAAAGAACTCTGAGCTACCACTTCAACTCCTTTACTATCCAATCCAATCCAATCCACTTTATTTATAAGGCACAATTTAAATAAACACAAAGGTTCCCAAAGTGCTGTACATTTAAATAGACATAGTGAAAGACAGAATCATTAAAAATACAATAAAACAGTACAAAATGGCTAAAATTATCTGCACATAAAATCAACAACCTAAGCGGTGTTAAAAGCCAAAGAAAAGAGGTGCGTTTTAAGAAGAGATTTAAAATTGGACAATGAAGAGGCCTGCCTAATGTGCAGTGGCAGTTCGTTCCATAGTTTCGGGGCGGCAACAGAAAATGCTCGGTCCCCTCTGAGTTTCAGCCTGGTTTTGGGAACCCTCAGGGGCAACTGGTCAGCTGACCTGAGAGATTGGCTAGGTGCATAGGGGTGCAGAAGCTCAGAGAGGTACACTGGGGCAAGACCATTTAAGGCTTTAAAAGCAAATAAAAGAATTTTAAAATGAATTCTAAAATGGACGGGTAGCCAGTGAAGTGAAACTAAGATCGGTGTAATGTGCTCGAACTTCCTTGTGCCGGTTACAAGACGTGCAGCTGCATTCTGCACTAGTTGCAGATGTGCAATGGAGGACCCACTAACCCCCATGTAAAGAGCATTACAGTAATCAAGCCGGGTGGTTACAAAGGAGTGGATTACTGTTTCAAAGTGCTGTCTATGCAGAAAGGGTTTTATTTTTGCCAGCTGCCTTAACTGGAAGAAGCTCGATTTTACCACAGCTTTAATCTGGCTGTCAAACTTTAAGTCCGCATCCACTTTTACCCCCAGATCGTTAACCAAGGGTTTGGCGTACTGGGCCAAGGGACCGAGGTCGACTGGGGGGGTCACAGAAGTGCCACCAAAGACCATCACTTTGGACTTTTCCTCGTTGAAATTTAAAAAGTTTCGAGCCATCCAGCCCTTGACTTCATCCAAACAATTTAGCAGCGGCTTAAGTGAAAAGGAATCAGCCTTTTTAAGGGGGACATAGATCTGGCTGTCATCCGCATAACAATGGAATAAAATGCCATGCTTCCTGAGAATGGACCCAAGTGGGAGAAGATATAAAGAAAATAAAAGAGGGCCCAGCACTGAACCTTGTGGGACCCCACATGAGAGAGGAGCAATGGAGGACACTATGGCTGACATCATCTACCAAGAACCACAGCAATTGGTCGATGAAAGACCGGTCTGTGCCGGTGAAAACATATACACATCCGCGCACTCATGAAAGGTAGTAAGTATTACAGTATGATTACAGTAGTATTACAGACATATTACAATACCATTACAGTAGTATTACAGAACAATTACAGTACAATTATAGTACATGGTTTTATGTTTATTTCTTCATGTGAGCACCTTGTGCCTCATTTCTTTTCTGACAGGTGCTATACAAATAAAGCTTATTATTACAGTACTATTGCAGTGATATTAAAACAGTATTACAGTACTTTTACAGTAGTATTACAGTACTATTATTAGCTTAGTGTGAAGTGAGACCTCTGTCACCGCTCAAATATAGAAAGCAGATGTGACTGTCACAATAAAAGTCTTCAGGTCTCAGAGTGAAGAAGACGTTGACAGAGCATCCTCCTGTCTTTCGTCCGTTGTCCATCAGCTGCTTTGCCTCCATTTTCTCTTGGTCCAAAGTCCGATTGTGTTAATAATAAAAGAATGATCAACAGACCAATCAAACTGATTGATCAGCCATCAGAGGAGTTGGATCAGTGGAGCTACTTCTGTTCCCTGATGTTCAGCTGTTTCATTTGCGACCTGAGTTCTCTCTGTAGAGGAGACAGAAGAACAGTGAGACACGGACAAACAACTAGAGACAAACAACTAGAGACAAACAACCAGAGACAAACAACACTGACCTTTAACCTGGAGACTCAGTGTTTTCCCTCTCAGCAACAGTCCCTCCCTGCTGTAGACCATACATTTGTATTCTCCTGTCTCTCTCTGTGGGGTGTTTCAGGGTCAGACTGAGGTCTCCAGTTCTCAGTGGATCTTTCTTCATCTCTGTTCGGCCTCTGTAAACCTGGTTCTGTTCTTCAGGTCTGTCAGAACCGTTCTGATACACATGGACCTTATTGTCATTGTTCCTCCACACCACTTCAGCGTCTTGGGACAGGTGAGGTGTGGTCTTGAAGGGCAGCTGGACAGACTCCTCCCCCTCCTCCACCTCCGCCTCTTGACCTGAGAGGAGAACAAAGCACAACATGAGCTGTACAGACAGCAGCAGTTTTTAATCTCTTTATTGAAGGATTACAAAGTTGTAGAGAAACCTGAAGGACAGAACCAGATCAGACCAGAAGGGAACAGGGGACACTAATCTAGAAACTAATGCTGTGTCTCAGTCTATACTCACATTTGCTATTTTGAGGGCATGAGCGTGTTCATACAGACCAGTACAGCAACAAACAGTGACTAGGGCTGAACGATTAATTGCTTTTGCGATAATATCGCAATATGATAAAACGTGGTTTTCCAACCAAAAAGGCTGCGATTACACTCTGGTCACATGACGCGCAAGCGAGAGCAGAGCAGTCGGCTAAAAGAGGGAGCTACACTCTGACCTGTTGTATTACAGAACCTGCCACTGTGGAAACTAGTGTCTACGAGGAGCAGGACGTCGGTGTGGAACTGTTTTGGCTTTAATAAAAAAGATGCTGCACAGCGTCAGGTATTGTGCAGAACCTGCCTTGCTACTGTTGCAACCTCACGGGGCAACACTACTAACCTGTATCAGCACTTAAAAAAACACCACTAAGCCATGCTTTAGTTGCATCGCTAAAACACCGACCACCAGTGTGTCTAGTAAACCAAACACCACCCGACAAAGATCACTGACCGAAATGTCTGAAACAACTCCATATGAAAGTCATTCAAAACGGGGAAATTACTCAGAGTTAATAACAGAGTTCATACAGATACGATGCCTCTCAGCGCGGTGACCAAGCCTGTGTTTACGGCTTTGATAAATACACCGGAGAGACAGTTCTTCGCTACTACAACTGACCTGTGGTCAGGCTGTACGGCGGAGCGCTGTCAGAGTCTTACGGTGCATTTCATTAATGAAGACTTGGACCTCAAAGCTCGCTACCTTCAAACTGTCTACCCTGATGACCACACGGGGGAAAACATTGCAGCCTGAGAAGGGCTTGCCAGCTGGGATCTCCATGAAGAGAACCATGTCTGCATGACGACAGACTTTACAGTTTTACATGTTGACAAGGCTGTTAAAAAAACAGTCAGTGAACTACTGTGACTGAAGTAGTTGAATAAAAATATGTCATTCATATCAATTCATGCGTCATCTAATTTCCTCATGACACAGGCCTGGCCTCAGGAAGAACAGGTCATGTTTAATCTATCTGGTATTGTGTTAGTCATAATAGAGAATGATTTATTGCTTGTGTTTGTTGAATAATACAGAACAAACTTTAAAAAAATAATTGCACATTAAATCACAAAATTGGTTAAAAAAAAATCACAATTAGATTATTTTCCTAAATCGCTCAGGCCCAGCAGTGACTGTTAGAACCTGAACCTGACACTCCTCACCCTGAACGGACGCCATATTGACTAATGAAGGGGGAAATGGCGGCAGAGGAAAGAGGACACATCTGACCTTTGATCTGGAGCTCCACCTGTTTCCTCATCAGGATGTCTCCGTCCTTGTAGACAGTGCAGGTGTAGGTGTCTCTCTCTCTCTCTGTGGGGTGTTTCAGGGTCAGACTGAGGTCTCCAGTTCTCAGTGGATCTTCCTTCATCTCTGTTTGGCCTCTGTAAACCTGGTCCTGTTCTTCAGGTCTGTCAGAACCGTTCTGATACACATGGACCTTCTTGTCACTCTTCCTCCACTCCACCTTCACGTCTCCAGACAGGTGAGCTGTGGTCTTACAGGACAGCTGGACAGACTCCGCCCCTGACTCCACCTCCACCTGTTGGACTGAGAGACAACAAACAACATCATCAGCTGTTCAGACGACAGCAGCAGAACATTTCTAAGGAGCTATTAAACTGTTGAGATCCAAATCCTTATCTTCTATTTGTGTTGTTATCCTCGTCGGCCATGTTTTTTTCTTCCATAGACTTTTCAGTGGCTAACTACTGCTACATACTTTGTGCTACAGAAACTATCAAACATTCAGCTTCTTCAGGACATTTGTTTTTATTGGCAGATTTCTAAGAGCCAAACAGCTGAGGCACTGGTACAACCTGTTGCCTGGCAACCAAACAACAGACAGCAAATATCCCAATCAGATTCTCTCCCACCATGGCCCAAAGTATCTGCAGATCAACCCTGTTTGTTTGCTGCACATCTTCCTGTGTCAGTAGATGGTAGTTAATAAACATGTCGTTTAGTTGTTGTCCTGTGTGTGTGTGTGTGTGTGTGTGACTCAGACTACTTTAACCATTTGTGTGAAGT